AAAGCCATTGAAGCTTATAATGTCTGAGGTAAGTGATTTCTAACCTTCTTCATCCTCCACTGTTAACTAGAAATCTCATGGTAACTGGAAATCTCTGTAAGAGTCTGAGTATTTTTGTCATCTGAAACTTCATTCACATGATACACAACATTTTAATGTTACTTTTCACCATGGGGGTGAATTTTATAATGGTCAACCAAAACAAAATCATTTATAGAGGGTGGTTGAGTCCAATGTATCTGAGCTACACATTGCAAACTGGACAATGGATAACATTGGCAAGTTGGTGAATAAGTGGGGGTATAAGGAAGGAGGTTATAGGTTATGGAAAAAAAATTGGAAATTGAAGATGGTTTTATTCAGACAAGAAAAGATGATGATGCATACAATTTTGCAACATATTTTTGTGCAATGGTTATTGATGGAGATATCTTTGTGGAACATGATGTTGAAAACATAGATCTTAGAGTAAGGGAACCTAAGTGAGTTAATGGGGTGACTGATATGGAAGAGTTAGAAGATGAAGTGCTTGAAGGGTTAGATGATAGTGAAGATGATAGAGCTACCTATCTTGTAGATGGGTTTGAAGGAATTGATGTAACATTACCTATAAATGAAGAGGGGAAAGTTGTTGGACATTTGTGTAGGACCAATAAGAAAATGGGCCAAGATGATTATTATAACGATGAATTGGACAACTCAGATCTAGGTGATTCTTATGATGATGAAAGTCCCAAGTATGAGAGATTTAGGAAAGAGCGTCTCAACAAGGACTATAGATTTAAGTGGGATATGGAATTTAATTCTCTTGTTTATTTTAGGGAGGAAATTTATGAGTGGTCAGTGCTAAATGGTAGGGAAATTACATTTGTGAAAAATGAGAGTTATAGGGTAAGGGTAGAGTGCAAGACTAAATGTGGGTTTTTAGTCTTATGTTCTAAAGTGGGCCACAAGCACACATTTTCTATAAAAACAATGGAAGATATCCACATATGTACTAGGGTTTTGAATAACAGATCTGCAAGCTCAAAGTGGGTGGCAAAGTCTGTGGTAAAGAGAATGCAAACATCTAAAATAGTTAGAATTCAAGATATCATGCAAGACATTAGGCTAAAAATTTCCGTAGGTATTAGTGTTGCAAGAGCATGGAGGGCTGATTTGATAGCAAATAAGATTATTGAAGGTGATGCTGATAAGCAGTATGCATCTCTATGGAGGTATGCAACTGAGTTAAGAAGGGCTAATCCTGGTAACACTTTGAAGGTAAATGTTGAAATACCATGTCCATCCATACAAACAAGGTTTGCCTCATTTTACTTTTGTTTTGATGTTTTAAGAAAGTTTTTATAAATGGAAGTAGACCATTTATTGGGGTTGATGGTTGTCACCTTAAGAACAGATATGGTGGGAAACTACTAATTGTTATGGGTAAGGATCCCAATGATCAATATTTCCCTTTGGCATTTAGTGTGGTTGAAACTGAAACAAAGGAGAGTTAAAGATGGTTCATACAACTATTGATGGAAGATATTGGACATGAGAGAAGATATGTATTTATCTCTGATCAGTAGAAGGTATGGCATTAACATCAAGTATTTTATTCATTGCATCAAATATATATGTTGGTTCAATAATTATTGATGCACTTTGTACATTTTTGTTTCAGGGATTAGTGGTTGTGTTTAAGGAAATGTTTGACAGGATTGAACATAGGTTGTGTCTCAGACACTTGTAGCTAATTTCAAGAAAAGGTTTGGTGGTGGAACCCTTATAAGGGATTTCTATAAGAGGTATCAGACACTGTTATAATAACCTACCATTACATTAACTTTAACACTATTGAAAACAAATATTGAAAACTTAACAACAACTTGATTCAAACTTATAAACCTTTCCATTACATTAACTTAATTAATATTGAAAACAACATCAATGACAAAGCAAGTGCAAACATCAACCAATAGTTTCTTCTCTTCTCCATTACAAGCTTTTTCTTCAATTTTTCAGTCTTCTTTGGACTAGCTTCTACACCTCAATTCTTGGAAACTTCACATTCAATTTCCTTAACAATGTCCTTCGTGAATTCTCTCAGATAAACCTTTGTCATTTCACATTCACATCATTTTGAGGGAATCATTTCATTCCTTTTAACCTCACAAACCTCATTGTCCCACATGAACAATCCACATCTATTATGCAAATAAAAATATGATTAACACATATATAAGAGATACTGAAAATATAACTATGATTACAAACTAGAACAAACACTTACCAATGATTTTCTATATTTTCAGAATTTTTGATTTGGGTTACCAATGGTGTTGGATAAACATATCTTCATTGTTTCATTACAACCACATCTTGGCAAGCCTCGTCTAAAAGAACTACCAACATATGATGTTTTGCTTCCACCCATTATTGAGACGATAAACACTTGCAGCAGGACGAACGCGAAAGAGATGAAGAAACCTGAAAATGTTTCGGTGGTCTGCTGAAGAGAGAAAGGGGGAACAAACCTTAGACTCACCAAACAAAAATAAATGAACTTATGCCACACTGTTAGTACAAGCTGTTACCAAATGTGAAAAATTAAAAACAAAAGCCACATTGCAAAATATAGGTGAATCTTTGAAGACATGTGGCATTTGAAGGGGGGGGGGGGGGGGGGGGTTACTGACGAAATCTAGATAAGATAAGAGGGGATTAAAAAAATATCTTTTACAGGGGCTAAAAACAAAACTCGCTAATATTACAGGGGAATTGTATATTTAACCCAATTTTTTTAATATTAGAAGCATATTTTATCTTATCCTTTAATAAATTAATGTATTTTCCTTTAGTAGGCTTTAAGACATGATACTGATAATTTTTCTTAGCTGCTAATATATCTACACAGAATCGGGTGACATATCATCATCAGAATCCTCTATGTTCAAGATGAAGACTAGATATGTGACTTTTACTTGACTAACATGTTTTTTCCTCTTCTAGATGATTTATTCGGTGTGTGCTACTTTGGTAAGTGAGGATGCATGCCATTGATGATCATTGGTGCATATTCAACGTTAGAAATTTGAACTGAATTTTTCATTCTTCTTTATGAACATCTCAATAAAATCTACAACAGAATCATCTACTTGTTGTTTGAAGTTCATCAAATTCGCTGATGGTTCCCCCTAGGGTTAGATGTTACAAAATACTAGACTTATAATTTCACAAAGAAAAAGATACCTTTAGTATAGGAATCAACTGGACATGGAAATATCATGTCGTCATATTAATCAATTGGATTTGAGTAAAAATATATATTTGATCCTGGTTCCCTTGAACTTCTTGAATGGTAGATGTGATAAAAAAAAACACCTAAGTTGGCTTATTTGGTCTCTTACTCCCTGGCTTGTTGGACCTCGTTATAAATCATAGATCTTACAATGTCAACAAGTTGTTGAGAAACCTGATACATGATGTCAAGTACCCCTAAATTTAATTGTTGGCTAATGAAAGAAGTTGTTATTACGATTTGTTCCTCAGGTGCAGCAACCTGCGGTGCTTCCAAAGTAGTGGGAAAAAGCATAATTGTTGGCATTCCCACTATTTGTGGAGGTTCATATGACTATTATTGGATTGACCTCCTCGTAGATGATGGTTATGGTTGAATCGTAGGTGTATATAGAAAGAGTAGTCTAGACTCGGTGAATGAAAATTTTCTAGTGATATAAACCATAGTAATCTACCGAATGTGCCAAATTTATTGTTAAAATATGAAAGTTAGTCGATGATCGACTGATTAATCTCAACAGAGATTTCCTTGTCTTTAAGTGATTGCGTTGAGGAAAAACTATCCATCGATCGTGGATTGCTTAACTACTCCAAAAAACGTTAAGCAAAGTGTGTGTGAGTATATTGAACTATTAATCTATAAAATAGATAAAAAAATAAAATAAAGTAAAGAGATAAAATGTTAAAAATAACTTAATTATTTGGATGTCTCAAATAATTTACAATATTTATAGAAAAAACTATCCTATTGACCATACAAAAAGTGACTTATAGAAATCTTGTCTCATTTGTCTATTTAGGATAGTAATGTTCCACATTTAACTTAATGTCTTATGTTTTTCCGCCATGTTTCTTCGGTCCTATTTCAAATACGCATCGCAGTTGCATAATCTTTGTCCTTTCTAATTAGAGGCACTATCAACCCAAAACATGATCTTAAAGTTCGATTGTCCAATTCTATCGTGGTTTGAGTGAGTCTAAAATATTAACAACTATGATAAATCTCAATAAACTAAAAAAAAGAAAAACTTATTTGACTCATATTCAACTATTTTATATTCAATTGACTTACTATCTAAAAACATTCGACTAACTCTAACATTTACTGTAAAGACAATTTCAACTAACACTTTAATTATTTTTAGATATAAACATGATTTCATACTAAATAGGAGATGATTTAAAATGTGTTTATAATCACGTTTATAAATTAAAGCAATTTTCCTTTTACAATATAATTTTATAAAGTTGAGTGAGATTCAAACTAATATTTTATGTTTAAAAAAAGTAAAGTATTAATTGGGTATAAAGAAAATTAGTTAAGTATTTATTGAACCCAAATAATAAGAGTAGCCACGAGGGTCCAACCGTATGAAAATAATATGTTCTACAACTCTACTCTATCTATGAGGTCCAACATCCGTGACTTCGATAAATAATACCAACACACTTCCGCGGCATACTTTGCACTTACTCTTCTCACACTCTCTTCTCTTTTCTCTCTCAATTCTTCATCACAAAAATTCACAATATCTTATGAACTTTATATCCATATCCAAATTCAGCACCAACATTTCTCTCTTCAGGTTTCTTCACTCTCATTGTAATCAAATTGTTCTTATAAGTTTTTTTTTATTTTATGTTATGGCTGAATTGGTTTTATTGTAATACATGTTTATGTTGATGATGGTGATGAGAAACAGATCCTTCAATTGCTGATGGGAAGAAAAGGAGGAAGCTGGTTTTCCTCTGTCAAGAAAGTTTTCAAGTCTTCTTCATCTTCTAGAGACACGACAGTGCCCGTCCCCACTGCGGTGCAGCCAGACAAAAAGGTCATCTATTCTCATTTTCATTTTATTATAGTATGATCTAAGATGGTAAGATGTTGAGGAATCCGTTGAGCACGAGAAACAACAATGGAGTAATGACAAGGACTATCACGAGATCAGAACTCCACGTTTACGTGGTGTCCTGATCTTTTGATGCTCCGAGTTATTAGTTTATTGTAGATTTCCGTGCATGTTCATTCATGAGTTTTTATTAGACAAACATGTTCATATTAGAGGCTAAAACAAACAACATCCTTAAAGTAAGTGAACAGCATGTAATTTGTTGCTTGCTGTAATGTTTGTCTTTTATGAGTTGCCTTCTGCCTCTTTCTCTGTTCATCTTAGGACCATTGATTCAAAATTCAGCATGTAATTATGTTGTATTGTTGTACATGGTCCCCAAGTATCAACACATAATTCAAACAAATTTTCTTGTTCGTGTTTGTGTGTCACATAGTTTTCATACAACCACCTAACTCGTGACATCGTTCAATAAACTTAATTTCACTATGTTAGATCGTCATAATCAAGATCTTATGTCAAAGCGCGGTCCAAATTGTTAATGTTTATTATTTTTTTTAGAAGGAAAACCGAGAGAAATTGGGGAATGAAGTAGCAGAGGAGGTGTCATTTGAGCATTTTCCTGCTGAGAGTTCGCCCGATGATGTAACCAATGAGGAGAGTACAACATCAACTCCTGCACGAGACGATAGAACTCACGCGATTGCTGTTGCAGAAGCCACCGCAGCAGCTTCTGCTGCTGCTGTTGCAGCTGCTCAAGCAGCTGCTAGAGTTGTACGATTGGCCGGTTATGGACGCTATAACAAGGAAGAGAGAGCAGCAACATTCATTCAATCACACTACAGAGGATACCTAGTAAGACCTCATCTTATATCAAGGACATGTTTGGCTTATTTCAAATTTTACATAAGTACTTTTATGCTATAAACACTTATTCATTTTTGTTTTTGCTTTCGAGGTGGTTGAAATATCGTTTAAAACTTAAGATCACAAGTTTATATTTTTGAAGTAACTAGTTTATTATGGCTCATTAATTTAGCACCTATCACCAAACTTGTACATTATGTCTTTAATAATAGCACACTCTACATTATATCATAATCATATCATTAAAATTATTATATACTCTAAATTTGTAGCCAATAAACTTGCAACACTATTGGTACCTGTCCATATTTTAGACTTTTTATGTTGATTATATTTGAAGTCAAGTATTTACCAAGCAACCTATATTCTCATAAAAGTCTTTACTAGAAAGCAAAAATACACATGTTATATGTATATGTATATGAACTTGTGTGAAAAGTTTTGTACTATTTCAAATCTAAGGGTAAATAGGGAGAGTATGGGCTAATAAAGGAAAATGGGTCCTATTGAGTACAAGTTCCATGAAAGTTAATTATTGCTCATTGAATACTTATAATTTCTGTTTACCTGTCAATTGGTTGTGTTTTTCTTTGACTTTATGGACTGATGATATTAATAACAATGCTAGAAATGCTTTATGTACTGAGTTTATTTGTTATTGTATGATTTCTAAATAGGCTCGACGTGCTTTGCGCGCGTTGAAGGGGTTAGTGAGGCTGCAAGCATTAGTGAGGGGACACAATGTGCGGAAGCAGGCTCAAATGACAATGCGGTGTATGCAAGCGTTGGTACGGGTGCAGGCGCGAGTGAGAGCGCGACGACTCCAGTTGAGCCACGAGAGTTTTGAGAAGGAAATGGATGAATATGAAGAAGAAGAATTTGTGAGACAACAAGAGAGGACTTCAACTAAGCCTATGAGTCCTATGAGAAGATCATCAGGCATTAATAATAATAACAATAATAATGGTTTGGATCATAACAAACGTCAAAGTAGCAAAAAAGCTAAAGAAAGTGATTTGAAAAAACATGAAGCTGCAATGAAGAGGGAAAGAGCTCTTGCATATGCTTTCAATTATCAACAGGTCAGTGAACTCAATCAATTTTATACAAACTGAATTATGAACAACCTAAATGATGAAAGTGTGACATTATGCAACATTTTGTTTGTAGCAACAGCAAAAGCAACATCTACTACGAAGAGATAAAAATGGTGAAGATGATGTTGATATGAGAAGCTATAATCCTAATGATAAAAATGAAAAAGCCCAATGGGGTTGGAATTGGTTGGAGCGTTGGATGTCATCTCAACCCTACAATGCAAGACACTTAGGACAACGTGAAACCTCTTACATGACACTCCCTTCAACAACATCAACAACAACAGATAACATGTCTGAAAAAACCGTTGAAATGGACATGGTTGCAACACCAAGTAGGAACAATTTCAATATGGGCTTAATGGGCCAAGATTTTCATGATGCAAGCCCAGCTTTCAATAGGGTCCATCAAAGACCACCAAGCCCGGGCCGACCTAGTTACATGGCCCCAACTCAATCTGCTAAGGCTAAGGTTCGGGTTGAAGGCCCATTTAAGCAGATGGTTTCATCTGGGCCTTATTGGAACACGTCTACGAAGGGAGGATCTGTTATTGGATCGGGCTGTGACTCGTCTAGCTCGGGTGGTGGAACGGCTACTTATCAGGCCCCGAGAAGCCCAGGCCCAAGAGTTAATGGTGTTCGTTCGCAGTCTAATCGGATTGTGGGTAGTAGTCAAGAGTATGTTGAGGATTGGGCCCTTCCACTTGGAGCCCATGGTTGGGCTTAATTTGCTTTTTGAAAAATAATAATAAAGTGTTTATATTCTCTGTGATTTGATTTTATGGTATGGATTGATAATTATGGAGAGTTTAATAATGTTGTTGATGTCATGAACAATTTTTTGGGGATTGTACTATCTATTAAAGATATTTAATATTGTATATCACATGTAAGATGATGCTATTTGCTTTTGATTTAATATCTTTCTATGAAAAGATTGAAGTAGTGTTTAATTTGGTGGATAAATTTTTTATTGAATAAAAAGCAACATTACATTGTTACATAATACTATACCTTTTTTTCTTATAACCTTAGCCTATACACACAACCTTAGTCAACACAATTATTTGATCTCTTTCATGTAGTTTTTTTTTAATATAAAAGTCATACTCATTTCCACTTTACTTTTTAACATTAATTTCTTACATTTTCATTCATAAGAAATATCGAATTGAAAATTCTATCATCAAAACTTCTTTAAGTGATTCTTGTGAGTTAGACTAAAATATGATTCCACGTATGAGAGTGTTTATGGGTGGAAATTGAGAATTATTCAATTTCACACAACAGTGTAAGAATTGAAGAAGAATTATTTTCTTATATATTCAAAAAAATTAGACATTAGATAGTAAAAATTCATACTTTGAAGAGGCTCACTCGATTGGAAATTGAATATTGAAGTGGTGAAACTTCAAAATTGGTGGTGTTGAACGAGAAGTGTTCAAGAGCGTATTTTGAAAAAAGATTTCTAAAATTTAAGGTTTTTGTTAAGTTATGAAAGAGTCGGAGGGTCATCATATTGGGATAAGAGCAACTATATAAGTGAAAGAGATATCACATCTTAATTTGAAATTTGAACGCATTATGTTTATGAATCCTCTCCCTTGTAAAGTATTCAGCATTCACTTTTCATCTATTACTCTCATTTATATATCAATAGTATCTCATTCAAGTATGAGTTCATTCATTCTTATGAGTATGCTTTCCCTTAAATGGAATATCTTTTCATCAATATTTACTTGCACCATCGTTACTGGCCATAACGGAACCCACCGCTAAACACCTTGGTTAGGAATACTTTCAATACAAGGAACTTTGGTCGTACCAGACTGTGATATCAATGTTATGTAATGAGAGGGGTCAAAATATCATCACATTGGAATAAAAGCAACCACGTAAGAGATACTACATCTTAACCCAAAATTTTGAGACATCAACTTTATGGATCCTCTCACTTATAAATTATTCAACATCCACTTTTACATCCAATATAGAAGTCTTTGTTCACACTTGATACACCAAATTTTTTTTCCGATATTTCAAATATTAAAGGCTTTGAATTATTATGCTTAAATTTGTTGGCTCAAGGAATTTTTATCGTAAAATTTCATATAAACTATTATAATAAAACTAGTAAGATACATGTGCTATCACACGGGTTTCGTCTGAATTCATATTATACGCTGTGATATCTCATTTGTCAGTTTTAAATTTTTTTTATAGTCCATAAATATTCACATAGCTTCAAATATAGACTAATAATATGCACTGACTTTTAAGTATTAATCCAAATAGTATTTTCAAAAATAATGGAAATATAGCTCAACAAATTATGAGAACGTACTTATTATAAACTTGAAAACTTGAAAAACTATATCTGAGAAGTATATTAGAGAAATTATGTTGGTTGAATATTTAAAAAACTTGCTGAAGTGAATAAACAGTACATTCGATCCTCTAACTTCAATTATATAAAACAAAAACAAAAGAAAGATTTAAAAGATGGAGATTAAAATTATAGCATAAAAGAATAAGGAAATGTTGTTTACCAACAAACACAATGCCTAGAAAATCTATTTGAACACATTATTGGTAAGTACGATGAACAATCTACAATTGTTATCCCATAAATGCGCTTCACATCTACCCATCGATCTATGCCTGTAAAGATCTTCATTACGATTGTTAAGTCTGTGGTTTTATGATTGACAATAATTTTTCTAAAACATGTATCTCAGCAAGATGTTGTGATAAATGTCTTGACATGTTGATCAGACATCACTGAAGACAGATGTTGAGCGTTGTTGTACACCCCAAATTTTTCGTCCCATTTTTGAAGCCATTTATTCAAGACACCTCCTTATGCTTCTAGGGTTCTCAATTGCTCAAGAATACTCAAGGGTTTGAGCATACAAGCACCTCTCCTAAGCAATTGACCTACAACTAAGGTTTTGTGTTTCTCAAAGAAAATTGAGCTTCTAATGCCTCAAGTGGATTTCATGATTCCTCATATGCTTCAAGGTACCCTTATGACAAGTTTTAATCCTTGCATCACAAGTTTGCTCAGTCAATTTGTCAGATGATTGAAAATCATCTGTATTGGACAAAAAGTCATCTTTGACCAATTTATAGCCAAACTTCAATTTTTTTGGTCAATATCAAGATATTGAAGTCACATTAATCATTTGGTAAAGGGTTGAATATGAGTCATCAAGAAAACTCAAGACTCATCAAAAGTCAAAAGTTACCAAACTAGGATTTCCTATGGGAGAAGTCAACTAAACTTTGACCAAGCATAACTTTCATATGCTTTATAAGAAATTTATCAACCAATACCCATTTTGATGAAAATTCAATCCTCTACAACTTTTTCTCTCTAAGCTCAAGTCCAAAAATGCTTCATTCGAGAGATATGAGCCAAAATATTATAGGTCATTTTGAAAGTCAACAAAAAGACAATTTTTGTCAAAGCAATTTACAAAATGATAAAGACTTCAAATAAAAAAATGACCAACATGAAAGTTATAGGATACATCACAAGGTTTCCAAAAAGTCAAAGATCACCTTCATATGACAAAAATTGAGAGTGTTATGATTTGTGCAAGTTGAACAATTTTGAGAAAATGCATGAAGTCCAGTTTGAGCAAAATTGCATTTTTGGGCTAATGGGCCTAAGTTTTTAGGTTCAAACGTGTTTAAAGATCCACAAGTCCATTCATGAATTATATTTTATTTTTATTTCATTTATTTTTATTTTTATTCATTAAATACAAAATAAATTAAATAAAACAACAAAATGATGGACCAAGGTATGTGGGCTTGGTTTTGGATCAGATTTGAGGCCCAAGATCACATATCCAACTTTCCAAAACCGTGTGAATTCAAATATGGAAAAAGTCTTCAAATATAGAAGCTTGAAAAACATGTTTTATTCTTGTTTGATTTGGCTTTGATTGCATAAGATTATTTCCATGTCTCTTGACCTAATGCACTCTCTATATATACTCAATAACGTTAGACCTAAAGGACCACGCAGGCTGCCTAAAAAACAAGGTTTCAAAACACAATTTTTTTCAAAGAATAGTGCCATATTGTATCAAAGTTTCCAGCCTGTTTCAGTCCAAACCAAGGACTGAATCATCTTCTTGAAGTTCCTAGGAACTCATCCAAGCAAAGAAGCATCCCATTCCACGTCCAGAACACTCACGCCCAAGCAAACCATTGGGTAAAATCTTTTTTGAATTTCAATTTCATGATATATGCATATTTAAAAGTTTGTGTGTGTCCAAATGAATTTATCATGTTTTTTAGAACAGTTCTGAACCAAAGAATGTAAGCTTTAACGTTCGGATCACTAGTTGCCATTGCTAGGATAACAAAAATTGAAATCTTCAAATCTATGCATATATGCATTTTTCAGATCAAAATAACCGCACCATTAAACTCGCAGCCCTAAAATTAGGGGGGTGGGGTCCCTCTTAATCTTTGTTTTGAAGGTTTTCGCAGGTTGAGGATTTGGTATAATCGGAGAAGACGACCGGAGCTAGGGCTCTGGCGTCTCTCTGGTTTCAGTTCTTTTATTATATAATATATTGTTTATGTTTTAGCAACAGAAAAGAAGCATGGATCAGTTGCCAAGCAAGCACGTGTGTATTATGAAGGGCATAAGTTCGATCCCTGCCTTTTGCAATATTTTTTTGCTATCTTTCCAAATTCATGCAGGTTTCATAAATTATCATTCAGTTCTATTTCCAAACACAAACAAGCACTTGGCTCAGTGGTAAAGCAGACACGTTATTCATCCAGGGGGCGTGGGTTCTATTCTCACCCCATGCATTTTATTTTCTTGCTTTTAACTTTCTTTTCTCTTTTACTAATTTAATTTGTTTTTATTCATTAAAACCAATTAACATAAAAACCATAAAAATACCTTTTAAAATAAAAATAGCTTTAGGTTTTCTTGACTAATTTTTTTCTTTTAATCAAATTAATTTAGAATTAGATTTTTGCAATCAAATTAATTTTGTAAGTTAAATTAGAATTAGGCTAATTAACACTCAAATTATCTCTAAAAAAATACAAAAAAATAAAATCTTTTAACACCTAGAATTTTTAGGACTTTAAAAGATCTTTTCTAACACTTTTATTTATCTTTTGCATTTAAATTCCTAGAAATAATTGTATAGGTTGCACGTTTTTTTTTTGTAATAGCTTAGTGTTTAATTTCTCGCAAGGTTTTATTAAATATTGTAACTGCCCCGAAGCCATGTAATAGTCCTAGGACTTTACTTTTGGCACTTCTATTTTATATACTTGTATATATATAACTGTTAGATGTATTCTAATAGGGTTTGTATGGAAAGATTAAAATACATTGATAGAAAACCCTAATTCTCAAGATAAATATAACTGAACTGAACACACTTTTCACACTCACACCTCTAGGGTAACCTCTCTTCGTTGCCTTTGGAAATAATAGTCATGTCCCTCGAAAATAGGGATACTTTATCAAAATACCCTCGAATAAAGATCATAGTCCCTTGATGACCCTTCGATGTTGCCTACGAAAAAATGATTTAGTCCCTCCGATACGAAATTTCTAAAGCATCTCTATATGTTGCCTTCAATGACCATTCGATGACCCTACGCCTATCCCTTCACATCCAATAGATAGGGATACCTACCAACTAATGGTATATATAGCACTATCTCTAACGGAGTAAGAAA